ATTTGTCGTATTTTAAATCTATTTTTACTTTTTTTTGAGATGGAGTCTCACTCCATCGCGCAGGCTGGAATGCAGTGGTGTGAACTTGGTTCACTGCAACCTCCACCTCCCGGGTTCAAGTAATTCTCCTGCCTCAGCCTCCCAAGTAGCTAAAATTGCAGGCACTTGCCATCATGTCCAGCTAATTTTTGTATTTTTAGTAAAGACAGGGTTTCATCATGTTGGCCAGGCTGGTCTTGAAATCCTGACCTGAAGTGATCCACCCACTTCAGCCTCCCAAAGTGCTGGGATTACAGGCATAAGCCACCACACCCAGCCTATTTTACATATTTATTAATTATGCTGTAATCCTTCATACTTTCTTTTTATTCATTATATTAAATTACAAGCTATAAATATTCCTGTTATTTTTATCTAGAAATTTTGATAAATATAATAATTGTATATTATCTCTCCTACATAACTTGTAAATTTTCATTTTTAGTGAACCTTTAAGTCAAGTGTGATTTAGAAGCGTATTTTTGAAATTCTCAAGTATGTGGCTTTTTTGTTATTATTTTTCTGACTCCTAAATTTTATTTCTAAATTCATGCCACTGTGGTCAGCTAACATGCATTAAATGTGTTATTTTGAGAGATACAATAAATTTTCTTTTTGACCAATTACATAATCTTTCTGTGAATATTTTCTTTGTGATTGTTAATACATATATAATGCTTTTTAACTGTGTTAATTAAATTCTGCAGAGTCATGCACTTGACTTTCTTCTCCTAGAGCTACATGTAAAAACATTCACAATGATTCCTAATTCTTCAGTGTTTTATTCTAATTGTATTTCTTTCTGTTTTGCATGTTTTGAGGTTATGTTATTTTCTGGATGTACAGATTTATGATTTTTATAGCTTCTTTCTGGATAGCTTTTCTTTCTTTCTTTCTTTTTTTTTGCCAGACTTTAGTGGTCAAAAATTGACTAGGTATAAAATTCTGGATAAGATTTTTCAAAAGTATGTTTTAACCTCAAGTCTTTGAAGATATTACACTGTTGTCTTTTTTATACAGTATTACTGAAAAGGAGACCTTTGTCTGTCTAGCTTTTGCTTCGTTCTGGGGACTTTTTTCTCCCTTTGGAAGCTTCTCAGTTTCCTTTCCTCCCTCTTGTTCTTTATCCTTCAGTACCTGTCAAGGTGCTAGTTGTTTTAATTTTCATATCTTACTTGGCCCTCGGCAGATCCTTTCAATCTAAATACTCAGGTATTAGTTCTTCATGATTCTTACCTATTATTACTTTTAACGCCAATCCCTTTCCATTTCTCTTCTTTAATTTTGCAAGGATCAAGTTGCCGGAACTTCTGAGCATGTTTTATCTCACTCAATTTTTCTTTTTACCTTTTCTTCTCTATCAGTTTTGTATTATCAGTAGTTTTGTATTCTGCGAAAACTACTCAGCGTGATCTTCCAGGTGGCATTTTTTTTCCCTTATTTTTATACACTTATTTGTACCATCCCTTAAGCTTCAAAAAGTTATTAGGAATGCATGTGTATATGTAAATGTTGACATAGAATACCTATATTATTTTTAGTTGGCAGCCTGATCTTGTTTCATTAATGTGACATCCTCACTTATCTTCCTAAAGATATTAATTATTTTTAACTTAATGTCCTATTTTGTTGGTTCTATTGAATTTTTTAGAGATACGGGTTCCTGCTCATCAAGCTTTTTGACCCTATTTGCCATTTTGTCTTTGCCTAAATATCTGTTGACCACACCTTTATCTTTGTAATTGAGATTGTCTCTGCTATCTCTTGTGTCTCGGCCCATGGAAATGTGGGAAGTCCCTTTTACTCTGAACATAGTCACCTGAGATATGTTAGTGTGAGAATATACCACAAATGAAATAACTTAGTAGCTATTTTTCTGGATGTCAGTGATCTTTTTATTTCCATCCTTTACTGCACATCAGGGACATGCCGCCCTGTATGTCTAACACAGGTTTCATCCTGCTGCAAGCAGATTCCTTGCTGCTTCTGCCTGGACCAAGGGCTGAAGGTATCAGTCACTTGCTGCCTGACCTGGGGCCTGTCCTTTTTCCTCACGTCTGTCTCCTCTTCATTGAGGGGCTGTACTCACTCTTAGTGGCTATACCTGGCTCTTAATTCTGAGCTTTTGTTTCCTTATTCTTTATTTTCTATCACATGCACATTTCACTTCTTGTTTACTAGTTTCTTTCTCCATGAACATATGGAGAAGTAACTGTATGTAGGTGTTTTTAGACTTTACTATTGTTTCAACAACTTATTTTATAGGAATGAAAATGTTGCAGAATGTGTTCAACTTGGATCACCTTGAAAGTTTTTCTGGAGTCAAACCATAAGAAATTCCCATTTCTGGAGGTCCAAAACAGTTGAATGTTGGCAATTTTATATGGTTCTATTCCCATAATGTATTAATCACACTCTTCCTTACAGCATGTATTTTGTGTATGGTTGTCATGGCCTTCCTAAGTTACTAGTAAACACAAGTGCTGTTGTGTATTATTCAGTGTTTTATTTTCTGAAGTGGTTGTTAGGTCCTTGAGCAGAATAAGTTCTCAAAACACACAATAAAGAAACACAACATAAATTCCTTCTATGTATCTTTGTGGATATAGCTGTGTTACAGCTCCATATTTTGGATGTAATTTTTCCAAACATAAAACAAGATGAGTAGATGTGGGCTTATTGTTTGCAGATGGATGGGGACAGAAATGTACCAATAACTGTCTGTGTATATCATATGTGGTTTCAGCCTGTGCCATTTTCAGGAATATATCTATAACTTCAGTTGACCTAAAATTTCAGGGATCTAAATATTAGGGAATCCTATTTTCCATGGGATATTATATGGATGTCAAATTTAGGCATTAGAAAAATTGTCATTATTTTAATTTGCAAAAATTCTGGATCCCAACCAAAGGCAATTTTTATTTCACTCCCAGAAAGTTTACAGTGTTCTTTGGATAAAGATCCTTTGAGCTTTTTGTTCTCTTCCTCCTGTAGCCTTGAGGTTGAGGTTCATCTGGTTTCCCCTTTGGGAAACTCTTGGAAAAATTTTCCAGCTAATCTTTCATATTTGTCCTCCTGGAAGAGTGTCCCCTCTTACATACCTGGCACTCCCTACCCACATTCAGGGGATTTAAGACAATGGTGGACATATTTTTCACCAGTTCTTGGCTTACTCCATCCTTCTTTCTGATAACTTTTTTTTTTTCTTTTTTAGTTTCCTTGGGTCTAAATAAAGATACACATTACTCAAGCCAGGGAAAATCATGCCTAAAAGTGTTTGTTCTTCCTTCAACTCAGAAGATGCAGAGGCCCTGGCTTCAAGATGAGATTCTTAAGTAACTGAAATAATTTAGTCACATTACTATTCAAGGCTACCCTTGAAGAATAAATTTCTGATAACATTTGCTTGGAGTTACTGGTGTCTTCCCCTTATATTTCAGTTGGCACTATCTAAGCAGCCTAAATGAAATCATTCCAGAAACACAAAAATTACTTACCACAATAGCATTTTAATTTGGTATTTTTAATTTCCTTATAAAAGTCACTTCTTTTTAAGAATACTGTTTTAAGATCCAGATCTCCAGCTTACAGTTCTCATTGTCAGAAATGAATTTTCTATTTATTAAACAACAATAACAACACAACAACTAACACACAGGGTAGATTCAGAATTTGTGGAGCCTTGAAACTTTTATGATTTTAGGAATTCTCTTCAAGGAAAAGAATACAAAAAGGGAAGGAGTATTTATTCCATATGAGAAAAGGAATAAAATTACAATTTGTGAAAAGCTGACAGACAAAGACAACCACTGAATCTGGAAAAGCATCACAATATTTTTATTAATTGCTGCTTGACCTTTGTTTTCCCCTAATACTTTGGCTCAATCCTCCTTTATAACTTTTCCCTATGATCAGTATTTATTTTTTATTATTGCTAGTTTGGAACATTTTTCTTTCACCCTCACCCCTCTTAAATGGCAATGCCACATGTAATTCTAGAATTGCCCATTTGAGAGAAAATCTAAATGGGTTTTTTCATGTGTGAACTGTTTTCATGTGCATTGCAGGTTTTGCAGTTCCTTCCCAGAATTCCAGTTGATCCTGTTTTGCAAGGTCGCCGTAAAAATATTTTTTTAAATGTCGGAAACGTTCTTTATACACCTATTTCAAAATAGATTTCTAAGAGGAGTGAGCTTCTGTGTGATGAGATTTTGTTGGGAAACAAATTGGCCATACATTTTTACATTGCTGAGGATGGGAAGAGTCTTCTTCAGGCTACCTTCTGGTCCTATTGATTCCAAGTTTTGCTGCCCCTTTTCTGTTCCCATTCGGTTGGTGAGAGGCACTGCTGGGCGTGCTTCATTTCACGGTGCTTCCTCTGCGCCACGACCTGCATGTCCTCTGCAAAGAGAGTTGGAGTAAGACGTATAGGCATGTTTTTGGAAGCCCTTGACACACTGGGACGGCTAGCAGTAAATTCATAATACTCAAAGTGACTGCGAATCATGTAAATATATTCCACTGAATCCAAACTTAGCGTGCCCCCGGTCACCCTCTTCTTTATTGGATTTCAGTAATGCATATGGGCATGGCAACAGCAGCAAGCAAGAGGGGAAACACATCAGCACGTGGGGGTGGTCAGATGAGAGGAGGCAGTAGAGGTAGGCAAGAGCGGTTAAAATATCGTACCCTAACAAATTTATCAGAAAACCTTTGGCCGTATCACACTGTCCCAGTCACTTTCTGGAATTTTCTTTTCTTTTTTCTTTTTTTTTTTTTTGAGACAGAGTCTCACTCTGTGGCCCAGGCTGAAGTGCAGTGGCGTGATCTCGGCTCACTGTCCCCTCTGCCTCCCGGGTTCAAGTGATTCTCCTGCCTCAGCCTCTTGAGCATCTGGGATTATGGGCACACACCACCACACCCGGCTGGTCTTGAACTCTTGATCTCAGATTATCTTCCCGACTCGGCCTCCCATAGTTCAGGGATTACAGGCGTGAGCCACCGCACCTGGCTTCTTCCTGAACTTTGAGAGAAGCCTGTGCAAATAAGGTACATGGGCTTGGCTCAGTACCTCATGGCAATGCACTGGAGTTAAAACAAAGTTGTTCATAGTTAAAAGTCGTACTAAGACTGTACATTTCTTTTTCTGTTGTGCTGTGCCTCCCCATTTTCAGTCTCCTTTATTTTGCCTCTAGAAAGACATTTTCAGTAAGAGTTAAGCACATACACTATAAGAATTTAACCAAAAGGAATGTAATGTGAACTATTTTTGTAGGTAGCAATTTCCAGCCTTCAAATGACTCTTTTCAAATTCTGGAATTCTCATATTACATTGGCAGCGTTGTATGTAGGGCTTTATTACTATTGGCTATTCCTATGGTACATTTGAAAGGCACCACCTTAAGCTAATGTCATTAGTAGATTGTGGATGGCTTAAAAGAACACCTGAGTATGTTGGGGAAAGCCACAGAGGCACCATTGTGTTGTCTCTTTGAATTAATACTCTTGCTATGACTTTTGTGGTTACTATTGTGAAGATAAGCAATGAAAATTCATTCGTAATTTTTCTAGAATTGTAGATTTCTAGAATTGTAAATGTCCAACATTATTGTAAATATGCATCAGTTTTCAGTGGGCATAATTCTACTCCATTTGACTACAATGACCATGGAGATGCTGTGTAGCAATGCACACTTTCAGCGGCCTGCTCTAAGCTTTTGAATAAGATCATGTTTAAACACCTTGGCATGAAGCGATTCCCGATAGCTGTGGCAACTTGAAATGCTTAAAAAGAATGTAGAAAACATATATATCTAATTTCAAAATGAAGTTTAGCATCATTCCGGTTTTGTAATGGTGTTTTGTTTTCTTCTAGATTGTATAATCTTACAGATCCGTTAAGCCTTTGGAATCTGTTTTTCTCTTTTATCAAAAACAACAATTTTGCAAAAGCTGCTTGTTTGGGGCTACATTTAAAGACGTATTTTCTATGTGTGGCCCAGTGGGAATTCAATGATACCTTCCAAATAATGGATGTCTATTTTATTCAAGGTTGTGTTCTATACTATGAGAAATTAGATTATGATTTTCGATTCTCATTATCTTGTAACCAATGGAAGATAGATAACGACACGAATGAGAACTTGCTTTCTCCAGAGGAGTTCATGCTGTTAAAAAAATAAAGAAAGAAAAAAATGTCAAAATGCTTTTGATAATATGCAATGTAAGTCCTCTCTCTACATAATCTCTCATTCTCTTACACAAACACAAACACAAACACACAAGCATTCACACAAAAAACCACTATCAATAAAGCAATGCTTACTTAGCTTTATTATTATTTATTATTAGCTTTATTATTTAATAGTTAGTGAAAGTAAAAGCCAATGCAAGGTGGCAAAAAAAAAAATCAGAAGTGCAGTATTAGAAAAAGTAATCCCACTTATTGACTGCATCTGCTTTTATTTTATACCTGTAAACTCCTAAAAAAAAGTATTGCAGAAGAGAAGGTGACTGTGTGAGTGAGGTTCTCCAGAGGGAGAGAAGTAATAGAAAATATGTACATATGAAAGAGAGGTCGTTAAGGAGACTGACTCACAGGGTCACAAGGTGAAGCCCCTCAATAGGCCATCTGCAAGCTGAGGAGCAAGGAGCCAGTAGTGGCTCAGTCCAAGTCCAAAACCTCAAAGTCGGGAAGCCGACAATGCAGCCTTCAGTCCGTGTCTGGAGGTCCTAAAGCCTTTGGCAAACCACTGGTGTAAGTCTAAGAGTCCACAAGCTGAAGAACTTAGAGTCTGATGTTTGAAGGTAAGAGGCATCTGGCACAGTAGAAAGATGAAGGCAGAAAGACTCAGCAAGGCTGCTCATTTTACCTTCTTGACTGCCTGCTAATACTAGCCATGCTGGCAGCTGATTGGATGGTGCCCACCGAAATTGAGGGTGTGTGCCTCTCTCAATCCACTGACTCAAATGGTAATCTTCTCTGACAACACCCTCACAGGTACACCCAGAAACGATACTTTGTATAATTTAATTCAATCAAGTTGACACTTAACCATCAGAAGTTCCCCCTTATCAACTTGAACCCATAAACATCTCCTGAAATCACACATAATCCCTAAGTGAGACAATAATAAGGTCATAATTATGCCTGACATAATACAGTTATCTTTCCTACAACCAGAAGCTCACTAATCCTTAACCTAAATGCTATTACATAAAGTTAACAACACTTAAATGCTGATATGAAGTCAATAAATCTTATGTCAAATGATAAAGGAAAAAGAAAGGAAATACAATAACGCTATTTTCTTGGTACAAGTGTATACATGCACAAAGATATTTTTAATAAAATAAGTAGGTAATATTTATGACAATTACAGTTCTCCTTTCTGTAGCTGGTTGCATGGCCGTAGCCGGTATGGATGACTACCATCTTCTACTATCCATTCTGTATTACCTTTGCCTTCAGCAAGCACCTAAGTAGGTCGTGGTTTTTTTACCTGGTAGAGTGACCCAATCCTTCATCCTGAAGCGTCTGGTCTATTTGTAATCCTGCCTGGATTGGGTTGTTGTAGTTTCCCATTGATCTTAATCATAGGGCATGGTAATACTAAGAGATACCCTAAGACATCTCCTGTATTCCACACATACTCTGCCTTACCTCCATTGTGGGGTAGTAGACTGATTTCATCTTCATAGTCCTAGTGAATCACCCCAGCCAACAGTGTAACTCCTTCTTACTCTGTTGACTTAGAGATGATAGGAGGAGCCCAAAGTTTCTTGGTGGCAATCTTAACTTCCAGTTAAATGGAAACATTGTTGCGTCTCCTGGTGGCAGCATTCCTCTCTTTGCAGCTAAGACTGCTAGGCCAGCAGAATGTAATGTCATAGGAACAGGAAGCAAAAATATGACTAGTGGTCACTAGGGTCGATGGTTTGTGGCACCATTTGCACTTCCATCCTTCATTCCTGGACCCGTGAATCCTGGCTATGGGAGAAATAGTACCATGTATTGAATGATGATTCAAGGCGTACACAGATTTCTGGAGAACTTTGCCTATCCGCATATCTCTTTCCCAGATTTCTTTGTCACCAATTTTTAAATCATGCTTCTTCTAAGTTCCTGACCATCCAGCCAAACCATTGGCTACAGCCCATGAATCAGTATATAATCACACATCTGGCCATTTCTCCTTTCAAGCAAAGTGTACATCCAGGTACACACCTTGAAGTTCTGCCCACTGGAAAGATTTCCCTTCAGCACTGTCCTTCAGGTATGTCCTAGAAAGGTGCTGTAATGCTGCAGCTGTGAACTTTCGGGTGGTGCCTGCATGTTGTGCAGAACTCAGTATACCAGGCCCTAGTCTTCTCTTCCTCTGTCCTCTGATCATAGGAAAACCTCCATGAGGTCATCGATGCAGGCTGGGGGAGAGAAGGCAGGGTGGGTGGGGACCACAGGCATTTGAATCTCTTCCTTGAGTAACTTAATTGTGCCTTCAGGACCAGCTCAAACCCCATCACATATATACCACTTCCATTTGATGATGGAATGCTGCAGTGAATGTCCAACTCGATGGCTTGGTTGGTAGAGAAAGAACCCAGTTCCTGATAGGCAGTTCAGATTGCATGGTGACTTGTTGACTCATAGTCAAGTGTTCAATTTCTACCAAGGCCCAATAACAGGCCAACAGCTGTCTCTCAGAAAGAGAGCAGTTATCTGCAGAAATGCAAGACCTTACTTTATATTCCTAGAGACCTCCGCTGTGATTTATCTATGAGGGCCTGCCAAAGGCTCCAAACAGCACCCCTATCTGCCATTGACACCCCAAGCACCATTGGGTCTTCTGGGTCATATGGCCCAAGTGCAGCTTGCCCAGCAGCCTAGGCCTGTTGCAGAGCCTTCTCCTGTTCTGGACCCCACTCAAAACTGGCAGCCTTTTGGGTCACCAGCTAAATGGGACCGAGTAACATATCAGAACTATGAAATATGATTATGACCAAGGAGAAAAACTAGCAAGATAGATGGGTAAAAAAAATAAATGTAAAGGTTAATTGTACTATTTCTAGAAATAATGAACTAGGAATATAATAGAAATAATTTTATATGCAATAGGACAGAAATATAATAAAAATAAGTCTAATAGATATGGGTAAAACCTATATGACACCTAAGATATATTTGAATAGTTAAGGAAATAAACAGAAGCTTATTTAAGAAAATCCAAAATTGTGTTATCAATTCTCATCAATTAATCTCTATCTTCCAGAGGTCATTTGTAAAAATTAAATACTAAAATAATCACAAAATCATGAAAAAGGGTAGTAAAGTGTGAAATTAGTAGTTACAAAATTAGAACATGAAACTATAGTGATTATAACTCTTGGATACTAAAAAAGAAATACATTTACTGAGAAATAGATCTAGAATTTAACAGTAAATCAATAGACAGATAATTTCATCTATAAAATATTGTCATGTTATTATCAGTGGAAAATAGAGGTTAGTTTTTTTACCCACGTCTTATTACAAAATAAATATTAAAAAATGAAATCATAGGTTGGGTGCTATGGCTTACGTCAGTAATCCCAGCACTTTGGGAAGCCAAGGCGGTTGGATCACCTGAGGTTGGGAGTTCAAGACCAGCCCAACCAACATGGAGAAACCCCATCTCTACTAAAAATACAAAATTAACCGAGCATGGTGGCACATGCCTGTAATCACAGCTACTTGAGAGGCTGAGGCAGGAGAATTGCATGAACCTCGTAGGCAGAGGTTGCAGTGAGCTGAGACCATGCCATTGCACTCCAGCCTGGGCAACAAGAGCAAAACTCTGCCTCAAATTAAAAAAAAAAAAAAAAATGAAATTCTAATGGTACCTGAAGAAAAAGGGATGTATCGAAGTCTGGAAAGCTTTTTTTTTTTTTTTTTTAGCAGAACCATAAATCTAGAAATCACAAACAAACAACAAAAACGTTAGTGATTTTGAAAGCCTACATACTAGCATAAAACAAAACATAACTTAAAGCAATGTTGAAGATTATTGGAGAAAAGTTGCTATTTCAATAGTTTATTTAAAAATTACCGCAATTATCATCACCTCATCTGCACCTGATGAATAAAAATAAATTATTTCAAAGTTTATAAAAGTGCAACAATTATTTACAAGACAGGGTAAACACACAATAAAAGTTTTTATTCCGGAGACTCAAGTTGGGTAGGTTTACATTTTCATCAAGGAAAACAGAAGTATGATGTTAAATTCAAGTTCTATTGACTGTACCTTGGGAGATTCCCTCCACTATTGGTAAAAAGTTTTACTATCTAAAATCACACATATTACATATACTTATACAATGGCCATTTTGCCAAAGATATCTTCCCTAAAATTCTAAATTTATTTTCTCCATCTTCAGATTGTTCAAAACATTGCAACAAAAATTACAGAAAAAGGTAGTTGAGAGTAATGGGACAGTGAAAGAGATGACCAAACCCTGTCCCAGATCAAATGACATTAAGGAGTGAAAAAGTTCTATAATTTCTCATAAATCACCAAGAAAATGGGCTATCGTGACAAGAATTTTTTGTCATGGAACCCTTAACATCATCCTAGTATCTTCACTATGATCAGTATATTTCGCCACCGTGCCAAAGAACACCTATAATAGTTGAAGACATAATAACATTTTTCCAAAAAATGATTCTATTGTCCTAAATCACCTGACCAGGCTACTTCATAACTGTTTCTTCAACTGAGTTTCAATATTGGCAAATATACTTTTGTTTTTCTCATTTATCTTTCTTTCCTCCATAAGACACATAATTTATAATTAGACAAAATGTGTCTCTATTAAGTTGAAGTAATGCCTTCATTGCTTTATCGCTCTTCACAAAGACAAAGGAGACAATCAACTGCCAACGACCTCCTCTATAAACCCTCGTTTATATTCCTAATTCTTCCTTCCTGTTGGGCCTGATACACTTTCAACATCTTTTAGGTAAGCCAGCCTGATACATGGTCAATCTAAATGAGAGAAAACTGTTCTGTAACAATCAGGAAGATAAATCAAAACCTTGTCAATTTTCCCTACAAATTGGAGCAATACTATGGTTTCAACAGTTTATCAAAGTTAAGAGCAATGATTCTTATTCTTAGCTGTCCATTACAAACACCAGATGGGGGGAGTGGGTAATTTACACCTTGAATCTTAGGCTTTCCATTAGTCCATTCTCACACTGCCATAAAGAACTACCTGAGACTGGATAATTTATAAAGAAAAGAGGTTTAATGGACTCACAGTTCCACAGGCTGTGCGGGAGGCATGGTTAGGGAGGGCTCGGCAAACTTACCGTCATGGCAGAAGATGAAAGAGAAGCAGGCACAATCTTCACATGGTAGAGCAGGAGGAAGAGAGAGTGAGCAAAAGGGAAGTGCCACACACTTTTAAACCGTTAGATTTCCTGAGAACGCTTTCATTATCATGAGAACAGCAAGGGGGAAATCCATCCTCAAGATCCCATCACCTACAACCAGGCTCCTCCCTTAACACTGGGAATTACAATTCAACCTGAGATCTGGGTGGGGACACAGAGACAAACCATATCAGGCTCCAACTGAGAATAAATTAGTCAGAATCCCCAGTACTTGGACTCAGGCTTGGGTGTTTTTTTTTTTTTTTTTTTTTTAACAAACAAACAACAACAAAAAAACCCAAAAACACCATTCCAGATTATTTTAATGTGTAGCCATGGCTGAGAACCAGTGAATTAGATAATCATTTAATAGTACATTGCTCAATTAAGATAATTATGCCCATAGAGCATAAGCCATACCTGCTCCACACTTTCCATATCTAACTTTTATACCACCATTCTCTCCCTCTTCTTAATAAACACATTGTCATTATAAATCATCACTGCTTTGTCTGTATCTTTAACAATAGGGAAGGGTGTGAAGGAATGTGAGGAATGTTAATCCATTTTTTATATCTCTAGGGATAATAAACTTATAGCCCTGTGATTGTGACACCCCTGTTTCATACATCCCACCTGCAATGGACAAAAAGACCATATCACTTAATATTACCTGTGTAGGTGGTATTGGCTTCTTAAATGATTAGCCTCAGTTTTCCCCGAGGTCCCTTTAAGACTAAATGTAGTTGCCAGTGAAGCTGATATGACCTCTATAAAAGGAAACTCTGGCCTTTGTGGTATTTTTCCTTATTTAATTTCAACTCCAAAATAATTCACATCTTGTGCACCCATTTACTAATTTAAATATGAATAATTTGCTTTTATTTTGTGACCTTTTCTAAAATTGTGTCCTTATGAATATACATCCCCAAATATATATTTCGTGCAGCAGGTGAAAGCTCTTGTCTGTCCAGGTGTAGACTGCTTGAAGTCAGTTTTAATTTTATCAGGCTGGGAGATTTACTTGGAAGTGTGTTTATTTACCTAGCTCATGAAATACTTCTTGCTGCTTGTATTGAAGGAAGGGAAGGAAATCTGTTGACATAAGTTTGATATCTAGCAAGAAATTTTCAGTTAATCTTGACACTCAGAGATAGTAATTCTTCCCCCCTCTGCTGCCCACCCCCCTTGTATTTTCTTTTGCAGACTTCAAATGACTGCTCTGCAGCCAGGAGTAACTGCAATATTTGGCTTCTTAAAAGTGATGATGTATTCAATGAAAAGTTGATACAAATAAAGGTAAGCCAGAATGTTCTTATTAAAATATAAATAGAGGGGGTGATTTCTTAAATGTTTTTAAGTATTTAAGGGTTCACAAAGAGGGAATTTTTAGAACAGAATAGAAATTCCCCTAAAAGAATTTTTATTTTTTTCATTAAAATGTGCATCAATATCATTATGAGCATGTTTTTTGATGTTGCCCTTTCCTGCTTCGAATGGTTATAACAGACTTTGTTTTTCTGTTTATCACATCTTCAGAGGAATGCCTGCATGCCAGAAACAAGTACAACTGAATGTCCTTAAACTGAAATTTCTAAAAAGTGATATGCAAATAAAATGAAAAAGAATTACAGGAATGAAACAAATTTTATAGAAACCTTTGACTTACATTTGTGCATTTTTTTTTTTAATTTTCTGATGTTTTATAGGCTGGGCCTTAGATCAGATCTTTATTTTCATGTCTGGTTATGACCACGTGACATAGTTTAAGGTAGAAACATACTGTCTATCTGAGAAAAGCAACACAGAACAAGTTCAATTAGTTAATTCATTGGCAAGTTGAGTTTTTCCTGATGCTAATACATGGATGTTCATTCTATCATTCATAGAGAATCACAAAACGAACTCTTCCTCAGGAAGCAGTTTGATTGTAGGAAAAAAAAAAAAAAAATTATGTCAAGTAGATAAATATCAAAACCCAAATCATTTGCTAAGAATAAGAAGGAAAGTCAGGAAGGGATTAGGTCTTTAAGAAAAAAAAAAAAAAAACTTCAGAAGTAGTTATGAGGGAGTGTGTTAAGGAAAACCAAGTCCACAAGGGGTGTGGTTTCAAAGTCCACAAGGGGCGTGGAATTTTCCAGTGCCATGTCTCCATCCATGTCCCCATCCTGGAATGTAAAGTTCTTTGTCTGACTTTCCTGCGGCAGGCTAGGTAGAAATTCCAGGTGTGCTTCTTTGTTCAGAAAGCCCGCTAAAAGTTCTGGGAGGAAGGGCCTCCGTTGCAGACCTAGCAGCCAATCCAGTATCAGAGTCCAAGATCAATCACTCCAGAGGAAGTGTAAAAGAGCTCCTCTCATTGGACGAGAACCTGAATGGGGTGGGAATGACTCCTGGGTTAAAATACCCTCGCCCCTTACCTGTGCAGATTCCTCCCTTGGATCCCCTCCCACAGTGGCGTGGGAGCTCTCTCTCCTCTCTTTCATCTCTCTCCACCTAATAAATCGCTCTCCGCTAAACTCTTTGGGTCTGTGATATTTATTCCAACGGTAAACTCACCATGCCTCCAGGTCCCCTTTCCCCTATTCCTGGAGCAAGAGGGGCCAAGGACCTAGGCACATAAGATGAGGGAAACTGAAAGCATCTTCCGGGTGCCTCTGCTCCCTCTCTGCCTTATAGTTAAGTCCCAGCATAGAGAATTATTTATTTATATTCATAGTAGACATTCATTTTAAATATTAGGAGAAACAGTGAAGTAACGACTATAATGAAAAGTCTTATTGTACTGAAATAACATTGATGTCTACTACATTGGAAGGGTTTGAAGCTTTTTAGCTTGTTTTTAATACAACAAACCGAAAGTGGAGACTGAGTGAAGATTGAGAATTTATAATCATTTTGATTCAAATGGTAATGTCACTGAGAAGAAACATTTGTTTGAGAATCTCAAGTGCTATTACCATTTGAGTAAAACGATAATTTTATTTTGTTAGCTAAATAGAGTACACATACTATTTGTAATTATTTTGTTATTAAATATTAAAACTAATTTAATTTCCTAGCCTCTTTCTAAAGTGTGTAGATCAATATCTAATTAGAATTTTAAAAATGAATTATTGAATCTTATGTTTAATAAGATTGTCAGTTGCCATAAGGAATTATAACCTGTTTCACATCTATTTTCTTTTCTTCTTTTTCAGCTTTTTTTTTAGATCCAGGGGGTACATTTGCAGGTTTGTTACCTGGGTATACTGCATGATACTGAAGTTTGGGGTTCAAATGATCCCATCACCCAGGTAATGAGCATATTACTCAACACTTTTTCAACCTTTGCTTCCCTTACTCCCTCTCCTTTCTAGTATTTCTGATTTCTGTTGTTACCATCTCTATGTCTTTGAGTACTCAGTATTTAGCTCCCACTTACAAGTGAGAACATGTGGTATTTGTTTTTTTGTTCCAGTGCTAATTCACTTAGAATAATAGCCTACAGCTGCATCTATGTTGCAGCAAAGGACATGATTTCATTCTCTTATGACTGCATGGTATTCCATGGTGTAAATATACCACATTTTCTTTATACAATCCACCATTTATAGACACCTAGGTTGATTCCATGCCTTTGCTATTGCAGAATGGTGTTGCAATGAACATGTAAGTATATGTGTCTTTTTGGTTGAATGATTTGCTTTCTTTTGTCCATATACATAGCAATGGGATTGCTGGGTCAAATGGTAGTTCTACTTTAAGTTTTTTGAAAAATCTCCAAACTGCTTCCCACAATGGCTGAACTAATTTACATGCCCATCAACAATATATAAGTGTAAGTGTTCCCCTTTCTTGACAGTCTTGCCGGAACCTGTTGAGTTTTGACTTTTTAATTGTGGCTATTCTTACTGGTGTGAGATGGTATCTTATTGTGGTTTTGATTTGCATTTCTCTCATGATCAGTGACATGAGCATTTTATTTTATGTTTATAGTCCACTTTTGTGTCTTCTTTCATGTCTTTTGCCTTTTTTCTTTCTTTCTTTCTTTGAGAATGAGTCTTGCTCTGTCACCCAGGCTAGAATGCAATGGCACAATCTTGGCTCACTGCAACCTTTGCCTCCCTGGTTCAAGCGATTCTTCTGCCTCAGCCTCCCAAGTAGCTGGGACTACAGGTGTGTGCCACCACGCCCGGCTAGTTTTTCTATTTTTAGTAGACACAGGATTTCACTGTGTTAGCCAGGATGGTCTCGATCCCGTGGCCTCATGATCTGCCCACCTTGGACTCTCAAAGTGCTGGGATCACTGGCATGAGCACCCGGCCCTTTTGCCCATTTTAAAAGAAGGTTATTTGGTTTTTGCTTGTTAAATTCCTTATAGATTCTCGATATTAGAATTTTGTCAAATGTTTGGTTTGGGAATATATTCTCCCATTCCATAGGCTGTCTGTTTACTTTGTTGATAGTTTCATTTGTTGTTCAGAAACTCTTCAGTTTCATTAGGTCCCACTTACCAATTTTTGTTTTTGTTGCAATTGCTTTTGAGGACTTTAATCATAAATTCTTTTCTGAGGTCGATGTTCAGAATGATGTTTCCTAAGTTTTCTTCTAGGATTCTTAAAGTTTGATATTTAACATTTAAATCTTTTAAATTTTGAGTTAATTTTTGCATATAGTGAGAAGTAGGTGTACAGTTTTATTCCTCTGCATATTGCTAGCCAACTACCGCAGCACTATTTTTTGAAGAGTCCTTTCCCTATTGCTTATTTTTGTCTATTTTATCAAAGATCAGATGGCTGTAGGTGAATTTCACATATTTTCAGGAAGAGACTATGTTTTAGAGTTGATGCTATCAGTAAAGCACACACTATATAAATTAAAGTAGTATCTAGTCTTATGATAATATGTTTATTATATTTAACAATAAGCAGATACAGCAATTTGTGTGACCAAATGCTACATTTATTTCATAAGTATTGTTCATGGCATTGAAAGACATTTAGTTTAACTAGAGAAAGAGCATGGAATTATTGAATTCTAGTTCTGCGACTAATTTTGTGACATTGGACATATTTAATCTTCCTGCTTTATTATAAAATAGAGGTGACAATGACGATGTATATCCCACAAGGTCTTTCTTAGGAATTG